CCATTGTCGAGTTCGACTCGACGATGAACACAGACCATTGTCGAGTCCGACTCGACGATGACCCCGGCCCATTGTCGAGTCCGACTCGATGATGACCCCGAGCCATTATGGAGTTCGACTCGACAATGCCCCCGTCGAGTTCGACTCGACGGCGGCCTCTACATGAGCGGAGATGCCACGTGGCAGCACGTGGTTGCTTTAGGGTGGTTTACCGTTCTCCCAGGCCTCCGTTGCTGCCTTCGATGCGGATGCTAGTCACTTCGCTCTGATGTTGCGCTAACCTCCGATGTGCGAGCGAGATCTCCGTTGCGTTTTGCGCGAGCCTCCGCTGTGCGAGTCAGCGCTCCTCCGGCTTTGGACACTTCGTGAACCTTCGCAACGCTCCGTTGCTCTCGACGAACTTGCAAAAATGGGAGATGGTGGGCCCACACCACTATTTATACTTTCTGTGGAAGGCCTGCGGGGGAATGCGGCCTGCGAGGTGTAGGTTCGGGACCCGGTGCCTCAGGGGATCAGTGCCGTGGGACCGACGTTTCGAATCCCGGGAAAATCTGGGCCGTCGATCCGTCGGCTGAGCGCCAGGATCACGTGCGGGAAAAGCAGGTGCCGCGGTGAGAATCGTTGCCCAGCGGGCGACAATTCGAATCCCGGGAAAGTCTGGGCCGTCGATCCGTCGGCTGAGGGCCAGGATCGGGTGAGGGGATAACCGGTGCCGCGGTGGGAGTTGATGCCAAGGGGGGGGACGATTCGGCTGCTGGTGCCGTTCGAGACTGTTAAAACGGGCTCCGCATGAGGATCCAAGGGTTTTTGCCCTTGCGTCGCTCCCAGACAAAAGGCCGGTGCAGTGTCACCTTCGCGTCGAAGCGAAAGACAGTTGCGTTGCTCCACCACGGCAGCTGCATTGCTGCTCCGATTCGTGCCTTCTTCGACCCAGGTGAGTTCGAAATCCTCGCCGCCCCCGCTCCCCCGCCAAACCCGTCTCCCCCCAATTCAAATGCGCCGCCCATGCTCCCCCGCCAAACCCGTCTCGCCCCAATTCAAAGGCGCCGCCCC